AGTAAGCACTCATGTAAACTGATGTTATGAAATTAGCCCAACTTTTGATTCACAGTAAAACTAAAATTAGAACAGACATAAGTTAGCTAGGCCACATGCCAATGAAGACACTAAATCAATGTGACCACTTTGGCAAAAGAAGTAGAAATGGCTAATGGTCCTATATTTTTAAAAATCTAGATCTTAACATGAGTTTTTAGGTTTAAATATTTAAAGAATCTTTTAAAGACAAGATATACTAAAGTCTGGACAAGATGTTATCTCCTTGATCCTTGTCTTAATTCTGGTTCTATAACATTCTCTTCTAATATGCCAAATTCTTTATTCCAAGGATTAAGAAGGATCACTCTGTTTTTAGATGTATTCTGTATGTGTGTTATGTATTTATTAATATGAGCATTTTAGGACATTTTTCTTTGGTAACTACTGCCTCTTTAAAGCTAACGAACAAGCTTGACAAGGTACATATCTTTGCCAAGTCTATGTAAAAACAGCTCAAAGATTAAAAAAAAAAAAATTAGTCATTTAAAACTACCTGCTTCTTAAAGTTCATTACTAATCTTAATGTGTTACATTATACAGGCATGTGTCACCACACCCAGTTTGTGTTACATTATAATAATACATTTGAGGTGATTTTTAATCTTAAAAATTTTAAATATAGCATAGTTAAATACTTGTTAAATTATTAATAAAGCTACTATAATTGTAAACAGGTGGCAATAAATGAAGTAAAGTCAAATGAGAAAATTTTATCTTCTGGATGCCTCAAACTCTAAGAAGTGAATGCTTTTTAACAAAAATAATTTTTTTTTCTTGGTCTTTTTGTAGCAGGGTCTCCCTGTGGCCCCAGCTGTCCTGGAACTCACTATGTAGACCAGGCTGGCCTTGAACTCACAGAGCTCCACCTGCCTCTGCCTCAGAAGTGCTGGGACTACAGGCGTGTGCCACCATGCCCAGCAACAGAAATAATTTTAAAATGCCTGTTACCATGACATATCTTTAACAAAGAGTTTAAATAGGTTAACAAAACAAAACAAACAAAAAAGACTATTAATATGGTTTTCCTGTCTTTATTACTGTTAGATATTTAAGAAACCACATATATATTTCCTCTGTTTTGGATGCAGCTTCCTGGATTTTTATTTAAAATTATCTTATTTAAATGTTTTCTAAAATTATATATAGATATAAAAAAAGCAATCAAGGCCAGGTGTGGTGGCTCACACCTTTAATTCCAGCACTCAGGAGGCAGAGGCAAGCGGATCTCTGTGAGTTCAAAGCCAGCCTGGTCTACACAGTGAATTCCAGGCCAGCTGGGGCTACAGGGAGATTCTGTCTCAAAAAGACCATGGTACGAAAGAAAATAAAGACAGAAACAAAAACAAAAAACAAAAAACAAAACAAACAAACAAAAAAGAAGGTTAAAAAAATAGATATCAAAAGGTTATAGATGATATATTTTGTTGTTTCTGTTTGTTTGGCAAAGGAAAGTTAAAAAAACTTTTGGATTTGTACTGTAAAATAAAAGATTGTTCCAAATAAAAAAGGATAAAGGTGGGGCTGGAGAGATGGCTCAGCAGTTAAGAACATTGATTGTTCTTGCAGAAGACCTGGGTTCGAATCCCAGCACCCACATGGCAGCCAACAACTGTCTGTAACTCCAGTCCCAGGGGATCCAACAGCCTCTTCTGACCTCCACCGGCATTGTATGGGTGTACTTACCTACATGCAGGCAATACACGCATACACATAAAATAAAAATAATAAATAAATTTTTTTTAAAAAAGAAAGGGATAAAGGTAATGTTAAAAAAATTTAATTAGCAGCCAGGCATGGGGGTGTATGCCTTTAATCCCAGCACTCGGGAGGCAGAGGCAGGCGGGTCTCT